TAGGAGGTCAAGGCTGCAGTGAGCCATGATCGTGCCACTGTACTCCAGACTGGAAGACAGAGTGAGACCCTTTCTCAAAACAAAGAAAAAAAAAACTAAAAAAAGAAAAATAAGATTTTTTTAAAGAAATGAACATATATTGTTATTGGTGGTTTAGATGAGTTGCCCAAGTGCACACTTTTATGAGTCAATGTATTGTTTTCAGTATCTTTAGGAAATTGAGGCAGTGTATCCTCACCCTAATGTAACCCGCTATAGGGTAGATTTCTGTATAGCATGAATTTGCACTACACTCCTCTAAAAGATGTTTAGACCTTAGAAGTAATAAATACTTAAAGCACCCTTGGCAAACCATATAATCTTCACCTATCATCATAATTAATACTTGTGTAACCCCTTATATTTTGAGAACACACACAGATATGCCCACACACACACATATATATGTATGTATATATACACATACACATGGTCGTGCATCGCTTACAGATGGGGCTATGTTACAAGAAAATGTGGCTTTAGGCAATTTCACTATTGTGCCAACATCATAGAGCACACTTACACAAACCTACATGGTATAGCCTACTGTACACTTAGGCTGTATACTATAACCTATTGGTCCTAGGTTACAAATCGGTATAGCATGTTACTGCACTGAATGCTGCAGGCACTTGTAACACAATGGTAAGTATTTGTATATCTAAACATACCTAAATATAGAAAAGGTACAGTAAAAATATAGTATTATAATTTTTTTGGACCACTGTTGTATATGCAGACCAAAAAATCATTATGTAGCTCATGACTGTATATATATCTTGTTCTCTTGTCCTGTGAAATAGGTTATTAGCCCTGTTTTATAGATAAGGAATCTTAAGCTCAAAGAAGGTTGAATTGCATGGCTATGGGCACATAGAATGTGGTTATACAGCTAGAGGGTGAGGCTGCCATTCATGCCCCCACCTTTCCCTCCCCATTTCTGACAGATTGTTACTACAGCTCTTATGATTTGCAGTGTTTACTTTTCCACCTCTGGGAATTCTACAGAAATGAGAAAAAAATATGTTTCCAAAATTAGACAAAAATACTAGCCTCTGACAGAAGTTGAATGCTGAAGATAACAAAGTATTAATAATTTATGGACTCCAACAAATCTGAGCCTTTCTTGCATTCAGCCTTTTCCTAATTGGCAGGTATCACTAACTGGTAGAAGCACTCAGCTCTACATGTTCCTGATTCCTGTGTGTTTGCCATTAGTGCGACCTGTGAGATCACAGTGACTTTGTGAAACTTCTTGAGAAAATTCAGTCAAGCCTAAGAAACGTTCTCATTCTTTGTCCAACTTATCGGGACCACTTGAGATTCAAATTGCAATAAAGAGATGATTAAAATATTTAAAATACTTTCTGTGCTGGTGCCAATGATAAGGTGCTTTTTGCTACAAAAAATGCAAAGATTATACCTAAGTGTGCGGAAAAGAAATGGTGAGGCTGCTGGGAGTTCTGAGTCTGAAAATACTGCTCAATAAACACCCATAATGAAAAGGACTCTCATTGGTAATACAGGTCTATGTCATGCTATTGTGTAAAATTTTGTGTGTGTATCTAGTGCCTGCTATGTGCTTGGTGTTGCTCTTTTAAATATATTAACTTATTTGATTGTTATACCAACTCTATAGGGAGGATTCTATTGTTTGCCCCCCTTCACATTAGAAAATGAGGCTAAAGACGTTAAAAAAACTTACCCTAAGACACACAATGAGTATGTGGTGGAGCCAGAATTCAAACTTAGGGGTTTAGATCTAGCACATTGTTCCGCCTTTCCAGTAAAACCAGACAGAAAATTCACAGTGTCTGCAAAATCAGAAAATATTTGTATTAGTCTGTTCTCATACTGCTGGTAAAGACATACCTGAGACTCGGTAATTTATAAAGGAAAGAGATTTAATGAACTCACAGTTCTACGTGGCTGGGGAGGCCTCACAATCATGGTAGAAGGCGAAGGAAGAGCAAAGGGACTTCTTACATGGCAGTGAGCAAGAGTGTGAATGCAGGGGATCTCCCCTTTATAAAACCATCAGATCTCGTGAGACTAATTCACTATCATGAGAACAACACGAGAAAGACCCACCTCGGTGATTCAATTGCCTCCCACCAGGTCCCTCCCATGACACATGGGAATTACAGTAGCTACAATTCAAGATAAGATTTGGGTGGGAACACAGTCAAGCCATATCAATACTCATGCTTTTCAACCCAGTGTTTCCACTTGCAGTAATACTTTGTACCCATTAGCAAAAGTGTAGGTACAAGCATATTCACTGAAACGTTATTTTTAATAGCTAAAGCTAAAAAAAATTAAACATATCCAAATATTCACCAATAGGGGAATGATTAAATCATGCCGTAGCCATTCTCCTTGGGGAGTGCTAGGTGGCTGATATAAACTATGAGCTGAAATAATGAGTGCTAACATGGGAACAGGACTAAAATTAGATGAGAAAAAAAGCTACGTACAAAACAATGTGTGTACTATAAGACCTTTTCTTTGCAAAATATTGATGATAATTGAGATGGAAGAGGCAGAAAGTAAGATTAGTGTATACGGATAGAAGAAAAACAGTTGATAGCGTGTGTGCTATAAATCCTCCATTAATTACTATCATTGTGGTATGAGATTACAAAGCATGTGTATTTGCAGTGATATATTTATTCATTTAACAGGTACTTATTGGAAATGTGCTACATACGAGGTTCTAGGTGCTGAGGATGTATATAGAGCTTATATTCTCATTAGAAAAGACAGAAAATCAGCAAGTATATAGGTGAACATTTGAATTTTGATGCACAAAGCCTGTGACTTTTATATTAAAAAGATATTTTTTAAGATAAAAAAGAAGACAATTACCAAAGTAAAGTGGGGGCGGGTTCTGTGAAAGTCCACAGCCCGTCTGTTCATGAAGGATTGGCTGTGAGGTAAGAGGGTGGTGGTAACCAAAACAAAGCTGATGGAACAGATTTCATTTTAGGTCCATCAGTTCTGACTGTGCCCCAAAACTTGAGACATGACTTAGGTGGAAAATAGAAAAATAATATAAACTATGGGAGGGTTTATTTGTAAGTGTGTATGGGATTTGTAGGGAGCCAAATCTGAATGACTGGGTGCTTGTTACCACTGATAAATACTGCCTGTGCCTTCCTAACCTGGGAGTCCCCCCAAAACAGAATTACATATTTAGTAATCAGTTGTATATCTAAGTATAGTTGGACAGGTTCCCTTATAGGAACAGTAAGTATCTGCAGGATAAATTCCTGTAGATTTTGCGCCTCTTTCCCAGCAAGCTTCCCCTAAGTTGCCTCTGTGGTTAAGGAAAGCTTGATCTTGCTGATTCTACATGCCATAGAGTTCTCATTTTTCCAGGTTTGCTTTTTTTTTCCAGAGCCAGACCTAGATATCAAGCAAGTATGTCTTGTTAGGACAGTATAACTAGGAAATAAAGGCCTGTTAGAATAAAAAGTGGATCCCCAAATGTATGTGTATGTGTGATTATGTGTGGATTAAAAAAAGAGTTGATTTGCTATGTACCATCCTTCTATCCGCCTTGGATATCTGAAGTTTCATTTCTGTTTTTGAGTACACACACACACACATACACACACACACATTTATATCTATAGCCTTCCTTCCAAGTATATGTATACATCATATTATAATATACGTACATATCTATCCCCGCCAATAATTCAGATAAGTACAAACATTTAGAAACTATCAGTTATATTTCCCATGTTGATTTTTTAAAAACAAAAATCAAGAGGGCAGAAGTTAAATACATTAAACAGAGCTATAGTTGTTTGCTTGTGAAGCAAAGGAGAGCCTGGGTCACTTAAGAAATGAGTTCAGTGGATTTCCCAAGCTGAAAACAGAAGTGCTAGAAGAAGATGGAGGAGTTATTCCATATTAGGAGATTATTCTAAGTGATAGTCTAGATTATTAAATTCTGGTTAGTTAAGAGATTATAAAGATTCCCATAGGATTGGTCATATTTTCTGTTTTAGGACACAAACATACAGACACAGTTTTGAAAGAGGTCAAAGAAAATGTCTGACGGACTCAGGGTGATTGATGGCACATTTTTTCTTTAATTCTCAAAAGAGAACTACATAATAATAAATGCATAAAATCTTGCAGTTCGTAAAGTTTGTTAGCTCAGCCATCCTGTTAGGTGTGTACTGTGAAGATGTCTATTCTACAGCTGAGGAGGTAGCAGCCCACGGGTTGAGTAACTTCACGGATTCCACAAACATTTATTGAGAAACTGTGCCTTGGGTTTAACTGTTTCCCAAGTGGGCTTCAAGGTGGACTTAACAGTTATTATTTATTTGCATTTCCTGAAAGCGGAAACAAAATATTTTGTTGCTTAGTTAGGAAAGAGAGAATTCCTAAATGACCAATATGAGGTTGGATACAACACTCTTGCACACACCATTTCTGATCTCTGAAAACTAGGTTGACATCTGAGCAAACAGCATTGCTGTTTTCAGAACTAAACAAGGTCACCTGGGTTCATATTGCAGACTCTTTTATTCTGCCTTACTCCTTCTACTATAGCTTACTGCCCTTTGTACATTCCAGTACTTCTTGAAATTAAGTACAAATGAAAAAAATACTAAAAATATTTTTAAAAAGCTAGAGATTGCCTTTTTATAGCATCAAAAATTTCAATGACAGGATTCATGTGTAAAAACCAAGCACATCTAGAGCCCCTGAAATATAGTTTGATTCATAGAGTTTAAGTTCATAGGTTAATGTTAGAGCTACATCTATATAAGATAGAATCCTGCTGTGTACACCCCACCTAATTTCATCAATTCTCAGACCACCAGTGCTGTAAAAGATTACTCCACTCTTCTTTTTAAAATCCCAAAATAAAATGAACGGAAGATAAAGCACAGAAAATGTTGATCGATCTTTATCTTTTCTCTACTTGTATGTTCCAGGTGGGAGAGTTCAGAGCGCACGCTGCTGAGTGGACAGCCAACGTCACAGCCGAATTCAAAGAAACCAGGAGGCGACTGAGTGTGGAGATTTATGACAAGTTCCAGCGTGCCACCTCCATCAAGCGGAAGCTCTCGGCAGAACTGGCTGGAAATCACAATCAGGAGCTGACTCCTTGTAGGAGGACCCTGTCAGTGAACCACCTGACCAGCGAGAGGGATGTCTTGCCTCCCTTACTGAAGACTGAGAGTATCTATCTGAATGGTTTGACGCCACACTGTGCTGGCGAAGAGATTGCTGTGATTGAGAACATCAAATAGCCCTCTCTTTGAATAACCTTAGGCATAGCCATAGGTGAGGACTTCTCTATGCTCTTTATGACTGTTGCTGGTAGCATTTTTTACATTGTGCATGAGCTCAAAGGGGGAACAAAATAGATACATCCGTCATGGTCATCTATCATCAAGAGAATTTGGAATTCTGAGCCAGCACTTTCTTTCTGATGATGCTTGTTGAATGGTCCACTTTCTTTGACGAGTGGAATGACAAGCAATGTCTGATGCCTTTTTGTGCCCAGACTGTTTTCCTCTCTCTTTCCCTAATGTGCCATAAGGCCTCAGAATGAATTAGAATTGTTTCTGCTAACAATGTAGCTTTGAGGGATCAGTTCTTAACTTTTCAGGGTCTACCTAACTGAGCCTAGATATAGACCATTTATGGATGACAACAATTTTTTTTTTTTTTGTAAATGACAAGAAATTCTTATGCAGCCTTTTACCTAAGAAATTTTCTGTCAGTGCCTTATCTTATGAAGAAACAGAACCTCTCTAGCTAATGTGTGGTTTCTCCTTCCCTGCCCCCACCCCTAGGCTCACCTCTCTAGTCTTTTACCCCAGTTCTCCCTTTTGAACACCATACCTTGCTGGAAACAGTGTGTAAAATGACTGAAGTGATGATGCCCGAAGAAGAAATAGATGCCAAATTACATGGACATTGAAGCAACACTCAGCGTTGCCTAGTGTTAAAGGCACTGCAGAGAAATGAGGTGCAGAGGTAGCCCCTCTGAGTATTTATTTGACTCAGGTACCAGTGGTACATATATACAGTGTAATTATGACCAGGCTGGTAAAATTGGCTGCTCCCAAACAATCCCCTTTTTCCTGGCAGTATTTGGAATTTATCATTTATTAATAACTATACATTTTTTAAAGGCAGAAGAAGAAAATCTATCTATCTCTCTATCTATATATATAAATGACCTGACAGAAGAAAACTGTTAAAAATGGATATTACTGGAGGCGATTTAAAATGGTGGGTGTGAATTATCATTCTGATGGAAAGGAAATAGCAAAACAATGTGTTACAAGTATTTGCTAATAAACAGTATACTGCCAGCTTCTAATTGCTTTTTGATGTATGAAAGGCTTATATAATTTTCTTTTCGTTGGGTGACTTTTGCCAGATGAGAGGAGGTGGCACAGTGGTGAGTGCAGGGCACAGTCCTAGCCTTCTGTGGGTGTACTTTTGGAGTTGTGACTTGGCTGTGAGGGCAGAAGTTGAAGTTGGGATCACTGTGACTTTGCACATGGAAAAATGCAGATTGCAGGCATAATTCATCTCTGACATTAGAGAAAAAGCTGTTATAGCACAATTTAAATTTTGAGAGTTTGCTGTGTTTTTTTTTTTTTTTTAACATAAAGGAGGCTGATTATTCTTTTTAGTTTAATTTTATATCCCATAATTCTTCGGATGGTTCCAAGATTCAGAAAAAATTCAGTAAATGCACCCCGTAAATTGCTACCCTTTCCTTTATTTTCATACTTAGATCTGCTGTACATTGTATATATATATAATTTTTAAAATGCAGAAAGAAAATAATTTCCCTAAATATAATTGCAAACTGATTTCTTTTACTTTTTTGTGTGTAGGGGTGGGAGCTGTATCTGAATAAGTGGCATTCAGATTAGGGTCCTGAAAAACCCAGAATCTTTAAAAACAAACAAACTAATAGATGCTTATTTTCCAACATTTAAATTTAAGCTAGAAATGTAAATATTCAATTAATTTGTTAAAAGTACTTTTATAAAGTTAAAAAGAAATTCCAACCAAAATGGTAGAAAGTCAGGCTCTTTTAGAAAGAAAGCTACACCCATTTCCTCAAATAACTGTTCCGAAAATTTATATGGTGGAATGCACCATGTATAAACTGTGAATTGTATTGACAAATAAAGTTTGTAATTAAAGTCAGCATTTTCTGAGTCTCCTGCTTGCTGCTGAGAATTTAGATATGATCTAGGTAGGTAGAACTCCAGGATGTTAGTTTTCATGCTGAGTGTTTGTCATTCCTTTATTCAAAATATTTAAGAAATATTTTCGATGTGTTGATATACCCTTGCTAAATACATGCAGACTGTTTCCCTTGGTGGCTAGTCATGAAAACCAAATATAGTGAAATTCAGTTTTGAAATAAGATATTTGAAATCGCATATAGATTCAAGGTTGTTTCTATTATATTACCGTATATTTATGTCATATTTTATTATTGTTAGACCTTGTCTTGACCCTGAAGTAGACTGAATGCTGAACACAGGTGCCTGAATGGTTTTTTGTAAGGAAAAGACAATTAAGCATCCCGGTGGTATTGAAGTCTAAAGAAGGTAGTTACCAACCAATCTTCTAGACCTTATACCACAAATGTTTGGACTACTTACCTTGTTCATATCCTACATAAATTTATTGATCAATTCCTAAACAATTTGATGGTCAGTAAGTTTTCTAAAACTAGCCCCCAACATCATCCTTAGGATTAGGGGAATTTTAAGAAAGCGTATATTATATTAACTGAAATCGCTTTTATTTTCTTAAGGCTTATTTTGTTTATTTCTTGTAGGGAGAACCTTGATAAAGATTTTGACAAAACGTGGAATATTCTAGTGAGTTTATTTTTCCATTAGGCCAGTATAAGAGTGAGTAGTTTTTCCTGGAAAGATATTTGAAAAATAACTACTAGACCAGAAAGTATCAGGGACTCCCTAATCTATATCCCTAGATGTAGATTCTGGAATATGCTCTCTATCCAACCTTACGGATGCTAGATGTGCAAGTGGTTCTTTTGGAGTTCTTTCAATCTCTTACATAGATCTATATACTATGCTACATAGTTCATGTGACACACCTTGTTTTTCAACAGTATTTCACTCTTGCAATTCAGAAGAAAGTACAATTTTTGAGGCCAAGAGGGAATTGAATAATGTGCATCTTGGCCTTCAAAAAAAGAAAGAACAGTGTGTAGGGCTCTATTTATTTCTCAAATTTTAAGGAACACATGACATAAAAGACCAAGTCCCATCTAATTCTGTGTCAAAAATCAGTAAAATTATTTGACTCTTAAAGCTTAAAGTTCAGAGACTTAGGGAAATTTTAAGTGGAATACCAAAAAACAAAAAAACAAATGTAGGCATTCTGAAGATTTGAAATAGCTGTTTATTCCCAAGAATTAGAGGTCTAGATCAACTTGCCTTTCTTTATTTTTTGTTTTTAATTCTTGCTGGTCTAGTAAAGTCATAACTTATTTGTGATTCGCATTTCTTATTAAAATGTAAACATGACTTTGTTTTTATATAAACTAAAGGGTTTTTTATTTGAATGTTCATAACTCCATTACAATTAATGTGTGATATTTGCTTTAGCATGAGTTTACTTAAATTTAAAATTAAATGAAATTAAATTTCCTTCCATAGTGAAACTGGCCAGGTTTGGTGACTCACACCTGTAATCCCAGCACTTTGGTAGGCACAGACGGGTGGATTACTTGAGGTCAGGAGTTTGAGATGCAGCTGGCCAACATGGTGAAACTCCATTTCTACTAAAAATACAAAAAAATTAGCCGGTCGTGGTGGCACATGCTTGTAGTCCCAGCTACTCAGGAGGCTGAAGCAGGAGAACTGGCTGAACCCAGGAGGCGGAGGTTGCACCACTGCACTCCAGCCTGCGCGGCAGAGAAAGACTTGGTCTCAAAAAAAAAAAAAAAAAAAAAAAAAAAAAAAAAAACTAAATAACTAAAATCAAATAAAAGTTCCTCTCATAGTGAGACTGGCCTTGCATATGCTCATGTGTCAGTTCCAAGATAGAACAGGATAACCTGGTTATTTCTGACAGAAACTTTTGTGAGTAACCTATTGTAGTTATTGAAGTTATCTTAATATAGGGAAAGCTTCATAAGCTCCACTTGCTTTCTTCCTCCCCCAACCACTTCAATGACCCTCTCAAAGATTTTCTCCTCTCGTTTCACACATGGTACTTCCCCAGCCATAACTCAACTACCCCTTCCTGAAAGACAGGGATTGGTTTCAAGGACCAGGAGTTTTGATCTTGGTCTTTTGTTTTGACTCGATTCTGTTGACTAAACCCTGCTTTTACAATTTCTAATATTTATAAAACCATTTATTGTTTTCCTAGTATTAGCTTTATAAAATGTTTTCATTGTATTAGGTTTGTCTCAATTCACAACTATTTTTTCTTTTTATCTGGGATTCCTTGTCAAAGTATTTTTGTTTAGTCACCAAAAACTCACTGCCTAGCCTTTATTCTATTTATTTTGAACCTTTAGACTTGGATTTCTTGCTCTGAATTCATCAAGCTAACTCACACGGGTATCTTCAATTCTAAAAGGGACCCCAACAGAACCAAGACTCTTTCATAATCTTTCCCCAGACCTGGCCTTCTTGTGTCATCTATTTCAGCAAGTGGCACAACTATCCCTCTGGCTGGGCAAGTCATCCTTGATATCTTCTTCTCTTCGTCAACTCCATCTCCACCTATCACCAAGCTGTTGACTTGTAACCTAAATATGTTTTCAATTTGTACATGGCCATTGCCTTAATCCAAGTCAACACCATCTTTTCCCTTCACTCAACTGCTTTTATATCATTCTCTTCTCATCATTGATGGTAAAGAATTCTTTTTAAAAAGGACAAATTGTCTACAAGGCCTTCTTCTAATTATTCCACTTTATGCCACCCTCTCCAGACTCATCTTGTATCCCTCTCTACCTCTGTGAACCCCAGTTCCACTAGATTTCTCCCTTCTGTCATAAGGTTATGTTGATGTTGTCCCTTTACCTGGAATGCTCACTCTCTTTTTACTCTTTAACCCTTTTCACCTAAAAAACTTCTACTCACCCTTCAGAACCCAGCTACACTATCACTTTCTCTGATAAGCCTTCCTTAACGTGAATTCAGGTAACTTTGTAATATGCTCTATAAAACCTCTTTTCTTTCCTTCAGTTTATGATTAGGTATTCATAACTATTCTTATTTATTATATGTCTCCATCACTAGAATATAATTCATTTGTTTTAGCATACTATTTTTTCCCCAGATACTAGCAGAGTACATAAAATAGGTGCTCGATAAATACAAGATAAATGAATGAATAAAGATAACAGGGATTTGGCTGTTGTAAACATCTGAAGTTTCCTTGTGCATAAATAACTCAAATTTTCTTAGCTCCACATTTATCTGTCTTCTTCCACTAACTTACTGGTAAATGAAATAAAAACAGCAGTTATTTCTCCTGTTAACTACTATTAACTGATAAGCTGGTACTAGTTATTAATAGTGTGGTGTGTGTGTGTATGCCTGTGTGTGTGTGTGTGTGTATGAATTAAAGCCAATTCTCACACTAGACAGACTTGCAGTTTATTAGTCATTATGTACTCTTGCTACTTATAAGCAAGAAATTTATTATTTGTATTTCTAAACTTAAACTCACAATAGATACTATCAAAGCTTTTCAGTTGTAGCTTAATCTTGAAAATTTGTTTACAAATTAACTTCAAAACATATTTGCTAATGCTAGTAAGTGGATGCCTTTTATTAGTAGAAAACTAAATGCACAAATATCATCCTTGCCAAATAAAATCCAGCTTTTTCATGCTTAAACAAATTTATGAACAGTCTTGGAAGCAATCCATTATTCGGCACATTTGAACAGTATTCACCAGAGAATATTAATCACTTACATGGTGTGATTTTAAAATTAATTCATATAATTCATTCAGTTGATTCTTGATTTTGTATATGGTATCTCTTTTTGCACTATAAAATTAATAGAGAAAAGTATGTAGATGTCTTTTATCATTCTAACTACTTTGTTTAAAAAACATTTTAGACTTTTAAATAATTTTCACATTAGACTGTATGTTTTGGGATTTTTACTGAAAAATTTAAAACAAGTATTACTAAGTGACATTGTCTGGTCCAGATTCAAATTTTGTCATTGACCAAGTACTTCAGGATTGGGAACACACAACACCAAGATACTGTCAAGACATCTAAATAACTCATTTTGATTCTCAGTCAGTTGGGAAGAGCAATTCAGAATTTACACGTGCATTGAAAAACTTTCTCTAATATTGCCAGGGTCTAGATATGTAGACAAGTAAATTAGCCAAATGTATGAATCTCTTCACTGATTAAATTGTATATGCAAACAAAATAATATCTTGCTCATGGTTTATCAAGTCAACATTTATCAAGACTCTTTAGAGTGGCAATCATTAGAATACTAAGCCAAATCAATGTTTGCTGTCTAAGAAATGGCAAGCCATGGGTAAGACAACAATGAAAACAAATAACCAAAATACAAGGTGATAAATATTACAATGAGGTGTGCAAAGAAGCACTAGGAGTAGTACAATACTCTGAGGAAGGAAAAACTATCAACTTGAGTTGAAGAAAGGCTTTATTGAGCAACTCATGTCTGAGTTAGATCTCAAAAGAGCTATAGAATTTCACTGGATTTCAGATATAAGGACAAATAAAAGTTTAGCATGATTAGGCACTAGCAGATTGTTTTATGTGGGCTGAGCAGGGTGTGTGTGTGTGATGATATTGCAAAATGCTTAAGAACACAAAGTGTGGAACCAGTTGGCCTGAGTTCATTCCTCTGTCCTGCTACACCCTAAGGAAGGTTTTTGTTTGTCAACATCTATATGCCTTATTTTCCTAATATGTAAAATGATGATGAGTTCCAAATCTTAGGATTATTCTGAGGTTTAAATGAACAAATACATGTAAAGAGTGAAGTGCAATTCCTGGAACATTTTAAGGGTTCAATAAATATTTGCTGATGATGATACTACTACTACAACTAATAATGATAAATCCCATATACATTAGAGAAAATGAGGCTAGAAGAATTGATGGGAACTGGGTGGTGAAGGTGTTCAGCTGCCAGAGGTTGAGGTG